CCTCTTATTTTTATTCGTTTCTAATATCCTTTATACTTAATATAAATAAATATAATATAATTACATTATGTATTATACAACATGATGTATTAAGGAGAGGGCGTTACTAAGTTGGCAAAACTTGTGCTCAATCCTAATTGTCCTTATTTACGACAATAAAAATATGTTTAAACTAAACTATTAAGGATATCGAGGGCGTACAAAGGAGGTAAATTTTATTTAACTCAGAAATGGAACATTTTTAATTACCCGAAATACTAAAACGTCTACATTAACCGTGTCATTTTCACACACACGAAAAAGTCAGGCAAGCACCGAGAAAACTGATTTATTTTTCAGTGATGACAAGTAATGGCCGTAATTAAGAGTTTTTCATATCATATTTCAGTCTGGTATCGAGGATTCCACATTCAATTCTTGTTGTAATATATTAAACCATAAAATGGATATCTATCACACGCAAACAGTATATTTTGTAGCGACATTCATAACCACGCATTTACATATTCCTTCAATCGAATCTACCAAAAAGAAAGCATAAAAAAGCCTCATTTTCTTCGACATCTTAAAATGTTGCTGCCGCACCTCAAATGTGTTTTTAATGTGTTTACGGTTTCAAAATTACTTACTTCAGCATCATCGTTCCCGGTGCGACACAATTTGTTCCATGCGGTATATAAACAATGTAATATTAGACATTATTATAAGTAATGGTAATTTACTAATGCAATCGGCGTTGTAGACAGTGCCAGATCAATCGCTGTGCTGATGCAGGTGGAGCAGGGTGCGAAACAATATACATGGCTGACAGTGAGTAAATAGTGACTTTTTATTGTTAATTAAGTTATTGGTTTCATTTTCAATACGACAATGCAATACAAAGGATACATAGTCTGAAATTGCAAAATATTGTTATCAACCGGTATTTGTTATAATTATTATACAATGAATTAGACCAAATGCACCATATCGATGAAAAACCAAAGTAGTTTGGCAGAATTTCAAAAATGTATTTATATATCTTTCTCACCTAAGGACAGGCGTATTTTTCTTTGATATATGCCCGTAACAGAAACTGTAATTGGCCGAAAGTGTTCAAGATAAACATGCAAGTTGACGAATTTGTATAAGTACAGCAAGTATGTCTTAAACAATACATTATAATGGTTCTAGTTAAATGTAGGTAGGACCTTACAGGTGTGGTCTACGATTGCAATTCTTTTGTGCTTATTCCTAGATAGCTTATATTTCATAATCAAATAGTGCTTCCTTTTTGTCATTCTAAGTGCTCTAATGTGCATAATGATAAAATGAAATGCAAACTGTTTCTAATTGCCCTAGTCAGTATAGTCTCTTTTAATGCGTTTCCATACGAAAAGAAATTTAAAGAAACTGTAGGTTTGTTTTTCCATCCGTTGTTGCAGTATTTAAAATCTTGACTAAATGGATTATATAAATCGCAATATTTCGACTATTTTTCTCATATTTGATAGCACTGCTACATTACAAATAGTACATAACCTTTGCATTTTGGAACGGCTTGGGTAAGTACAGTAAAATTTTGTTATAAATTACTCCAATTTGTTTAACCGATAATTTTGTTTTTCCAAACTTAAACAATACTCATTGCCAACTTCGTTATAAAAGATAGATTAAAAACTCTGTGTGATCTTAACCATCTTCCAGTTGTATTGGTAAATGCACATTTTAAGTTCTAAATTAAGCATTATTTTGTTTGTCGTTTGGATTAAGTCTGCGGTATTTTTCAAGTTCGAAATTCGTTCTTAGAAAATGCTTCGGTGTGTCCTTATCATTACACAATTTTTGGATTAATTGATTATGTAAACTTTGGTTATAAATGAGTTTTAAATAAACCTTTCCGACATGACCAAATATAACTAAGACAAGTTTAAATAAAACCGTATTACCATCCTTTACTAGTTTAACGTTTTGGTTCTATTCGCATACAGAGTGAACGTAAATTTATACAAAATACTGAAAAGAGTATTATTACTTTTTAAATGCGACAATCTAGCAATATAATGATTGGTGCATTCCTTTGAATGCCTAGGATATGTTTTAACATTATATTAACGATTTATCAATAGCACATATGTTTTCAAAGTCACCAACTTTGACAGGAGTTTTAGTAATATTAGATAATTAAAAGTCTCAATGAAAAGTCATTCTACATCTACATCTGATAATTATTTCTTTTACAGATCTTATTTTTATTTATTTTTTCATTTTAAAAATTTGTTGTTCTTTTTATATAGATTTAAGGCTTTTGATTCGATTTAATTTATGGTAAGAGATATCAGTGGGAAGTCGCCAAAACTATTTACAATCTGTTTGCAAATATTATATTTTGTGTTAAACATAGAAATGAAAAACTGAAATGTTCAATGCCGGGATAGAACAGTCAGGAAACGCATCACCATTTCAGTATATCAATTATCAGACCGAATCAGAAGACTTCCTCGAACACAGCGTGAACTACTGATTAGATATATTTCATAAGACGTTCAATTGGTCAAGTGTTGATGTCAAATAAGACAAGAGAAACCACTGTTCTCTAAATATCATATTTAACTCTTTGTGTTATAAATGTTAAACAACATTTGAAAAATTTAAATGTTAATTTTAGACATTCAATCAGGATTCCATCCAAACCTGAATAATTATTATTACTCAACATGGAAATGTATTGACTTATGTAACAACATTTCTCAATTTAAACAATCATCTTATCTTTCTAAATACATATTTATGTCACGCCAAGAAAAGAGCTAGGCAACAGGACAGAACAAAAATTAACTGCCTAAGAAACTTCCGAATGGAAGTCACGTGATACCAATTTTGACAGTTTTGTGATATCTGTTTTGCATTTATTACGGAGAGGTATCACCATGACTCTTACTATCTTGACTTGATGATCCCGCTATATGGTATAACTATGTCACTATATGTGGTACCATTATTATTGTGATTATTGTTTTCCTCTGTGCCACCATATAGTAATTTTAGAGTAATCGGGAACCAATATTGTGGCAATATCAAATATGACTTTCAAACACGTTTACCCCGCAAAAAATGAACTGAACAAAACCAGCCAGGAAACTTGAACGTATTTGTTGTTGTTGCTGTTGCTTTCAAATACATTCTTCAAATCGCGTTCATCGCATACAGGAATATGTCTGTAAGCAAATGGGTTTCATCCCAATATAATGCATTTGTATATTATATATTCCTAGTGTGATGTCATGTATAGAATTCTAATTTTGTTAAAGTCTATTTTCAACAAAACTGCACCTCCCAGCTGGTACATTATTATGTTTAGCAGATCGTGAACCAGATTCCTGTGGATTGTTTTACTTACCAAATACAAAACAACATAGATTACAGTGATTTCCTTGACTTAAATGTACAATTAATTTCTAAAACGTTAATAGTCGACAGCAAAAAGCATATTTTGATCAAAACGCCACAAAAGAGTTAAGGTCCATATATTGGGTTGGTGTTGCTGGTGTTTGTGGCGCCGCCGTCGTGGACGTCCTTGTTCATTTTCCTGTTTCCTGCTACAGATAAGTCGACGTTGCCCGGATTACCGGATATAAATGGAACTTTGAACAGATCTATGACGCCAAACACTGGCTGGGAAGGTCCGTACGATATGTCCGTTCATCTGCACTGGACACAGTTTCCACCCGTCACAGAGGAGTGGCATTACATTATCGGCGTCTACATCACCATCGTCGGCCTGCTCGGGATCATGGGAAATACCACAGTCGTCTACATTTTTAGCAAGTATGTTATGAATTGCATAAGGACACATGAATATATATGAACACAATATAATTCCAAACTTTGTGATTTCGGCTGTTATATAAATAGACATGATCATCGTCTACACTTCGGTGAAATACAGTTGTAGTTGATTAAATCAGACGGGGCTCAAGTTATTACACCTTAATTCAAACTTTACTTATTTTACCACAATTATGAAAAAACTTGTTTCAACTTATATCAATCACTCCCCTTGGCCCGGATATTAGCGCACGGGGGTATTGATAAGGGAGAAAAATTGAAGTACCCGAAGAAAAAAACCTTGGTCGGGCAGGTGACCCCATACCTTTTCACGTCCGATCGGGGAATCGAACACCGGCCGCGTTATTGAAAGGCAAATGCGCTTTCCAGTGCGTCACACTATAAAGCCTACTAAGTATAACCTTTCTTGTATAACAGAGAAATATATACATTCATATCACCGCTGTGTCGTGACAGAGAAATATATACATTCATATCACCGCTGTGTTGTGACAGAGAAATATATACATTCATATCACCGCTGTGTTGAGACAGAAAAATATATACATTCATATCACCGCTGTGTTGTGACAGAGAAATATATACATTCATATCACCGCTGTGTTGTGACAGAGAAATAAGCATTGTCTCGGTTGTGAGGCAGGACATATTATATTATTTCCAAGCATTCATATAAATTGGACCACGAAATGTTGGGAGACGGCAGAGCCAATAATTCCGGGTTTGAAACCCAAATTTAAAACCGTCCCTGAATAACTTTGTTTAGCCTTTCTCCGGGCACATATCAGTGTGGAATTGTACTGGGTTAATCATTTGTCCTCAGAGAAAGTATGAACGGTGGCAGTTTGGTATAAATGTATTAATAACATTATGACAATTAGTGATACTTTTAATTGAAAATGTTTTTGTTGCATGTTTAAAGTGGTAATTGATCACAGGATTTATGAGTACAGACACAGAGCCTTGGATGCTACAATTACTTATTTATAACCACAACCTTCTGTTCTTGAAGCAATTATCTAGTTCATATCATAGAGTTAAATGTAGGTAAAAGCTTCAAATATCAAGAATAAAGACATTTGCTCCGTTTGGATATGGGTCAATTAAGCACAAAACCAACAAACCATAAGAAAGATGAGAAAACACATCCGATACGTGAACACTGTTACATTGAGGCTTCACAAAGCCTTTGTACAGGTGTGGGAGCACACTCACACGAAAACTAGTTGGGCTCCTACGTTTCACTTTGCTAGGTTCATAATCAGTTGTTATGCGTCTCAAAGAAACACAAGACATCATACTGGACAGTTCGAAAATAGGAACAACATGAATATTTCAACTGTCCATGTTTGTGGTTAATATTCCACTATTTGTAATATTTTAGGCTCTGCGTGTGTTCAATCATGAAAAATATGAACGCGCTGCAAATCTATTAGAATGCCCGGAGAAAATACCTTAGTTCATACCGTCTTAGTTGAGTATACAACATTGCATGACCATCGATCGAATTTAATGGAAGGCAGACGCCTCCAAGTTCTACAGAAATCAATTGAAGGCTAAAATATATTTACGTGAGAACTGATGTAATTATTTCTGATTATATCGGTAACAAGTACAACAGGTCACACACCAGCACGATAGACGTACAACAGGTCACACACAGCAAGAAAGACGTACGAAAGGTCACACACCAGCACGAAAGACGTACGTAAGATCACACACCAGCACGATAGACGTACAATATGTCACGCACCAGCACGATAGACGTACGTAAGGTCACACACCAGCACGATAGACGTACGTAAGGTCATACACCAGCACGATAGACGTACGTAAGGTAACACACCAGCACGATAGACGTACAACAGGTCACACACCAGCACGATAGACGTACACAAGGTCACACACCAGCACGATAAACGTACACAAGGTCACACACCAGCACGATAAACGTACGTAAGGTCACACACCAGCACGATAGACGAACAACAGGTCACACACCAGCATGATAGACGTACAACAGGCCACACACCAGCACGATAGACGTACAACAGGTCACACACCAGCAGGTAGAAGAACAACAGGTCACACACCAACACGATAGACGTACAACCGGTCACACACCAGCACGATAGACGTACAACAGGTCACACACCAGCACGATAGACGAACAACAGGTCACACACCAGCACGATAGACGTACAACAGGCCACACACCAGCACGATAGACGAACAACAGGCCACATACCAGCACGATAGACGTACAACAGGTCACACACCAGCACGATAGACGAACAACAGGCCACATTCCAGCACGATAGACGTACAACAGGTCACACACCAGCCCGATAGACGAACAACAGGTCACACACCAGCACGATAGAAGTACAACAGATCACACACCAGCACGATAGACGAACAACAGGACACACACCAGCACGATAGACGAACAACAGGTCACACACCAGCACGATAGACGTTCGAAAGGTCAATGCACCCAGTGCACTTGTTCTGAGTAAGATTAATAAACAAAGGACTTGTAATCAACCTTGAACCCTTAAAAGATATAGAATAATTACATATATAACCAACACAACATTTTACGCATACAGATATTTCATTAAATATAGTGACCTAATTTGTAATGTATTCAACCTACTTGTAAATAATTCAGATATATATGTAGCCTATCTGAAATGTATTGCTGTCGAAATCGATCAGTGCTGAATTCAAATAATGTTTATATATGTTGCGTCATGTTTTGTTTTGAATAGCAATGTCAAGTAACAGAAAATAGACATATTGATGGCAATAGCCGCTTTTTTTCATGAAAATGATCAATACATCAATATTTGGATTTTAAGAATTGAGTTCAGAAAGAAAATGTGCGCTCTGTCTTTAAGAGTTTTAATATTTTGCATAGTGTTAGGAATGGACATAAGCTTTCAAAAAGAACTCTAGTACAAGTTAGGAAAAACTCTTGGTTGCCATTAGGCAAAATAATCAATATGGCCCTCGTCGAACATGTTAGCCTGATAGCCTTGTATAATACCTGCTTTTGGCACGCAAAATCCGGTTTTAAAGTGATTTATATGTCATTGTGGTATTTGCGGACCAGAAACAATTATAAAATGATAAAAGCACATTTATAATTCAGTTTTCAATGTTGATATTTGAACATCCAGTAAATATGAATAATCAAGGTATAGTGATAGATTGAGTAATATCCCTGCAATGATGTAAGGAGTGTATAATTGAATCAATTTATCTATCTGTCCGTCTGTCCGTAATGGAATCGTGTAATTCCTTCTTCATTTTTATATATTTCATATTTTATTTCATTTGAGGGAACCTCTCTTATAAATCAAGATACTCTGGAATTGTACATCTGTACTTACTTTTTAGATCCAGCTATTTTGAAAATAACAGCAAAACTAACGCACTCAGATGATGTGTTCATGCGCTGATTTAGTTTATTTGTTATTATACCGGGCTTTTTTTTTATCGAAGTTGCAAAACAGACGTATGTCTGGGGGAAAGTAAGAAGAGAAAAGATATAGATCCAGGGTGTTATGATGGAGATAGCAGATCAAGTGAGGATTATGTAATGTCCCTTAAGCAGAACACAATAATAAACCCGAATCTGCAAGGGGAATGGGGATGTGACCTTGGCGAAAAAAACCCAGAGTACTGCACTGGTGTTTCTTAAAACTTCAATTTTGGTTGGGAGCTGAGCCAAATCTCTTTGGGGGTTTTCTGCATGAAGATTTTCAGTTCTACCGGTATGCTTATCTATGTATCGAACAATGGAAAAGTCCTTAGTAAGGTTAATACTAGCATCAAGAGAAAAATGATTTGTTTATTTGTAACCTTTGTCGAAGAGTTAAATTCCTTTGCTGTAGGCAATCTACGCTTGATTCACACGATTTGTTTTTGTTATTTTTCTTCGTCCTCCAAGAACAATCTGACCCATACGTTACTATACATTAGTGTAAGAATAGTTATACGTATATTAACATTGTCTTTGTGTCCATTTTTCAGCACCAAGAGCCTGCGGTCACCATCTAACCTGTTCGTGGTGAATCTGGCGGTCAGTGACCTCATCTTCTCTGCAGTCAATGGCTTCCCTCTCCTTACTGTATCGTCATTCCACCAGAAATGGATATTTGGATCATTGTGTAAGTTATATTTCTTTCTACTCGTGAACAAAATACTGCTTACATAACCAATAAACTGCATAATGTACACCAAGAAAATGATAAACAAGTCCTTGTTTCTCAAAAACTACAAGTGTGATAAATCACAGAATAGGAGTAGGTTAAATTAAATCAAAGGCTACCGTAATAGAACAAATTTCCTAACCACAGCATTGTTGTCTTGATACACGAGTTACAGTTGTGGTGTTTTGTGTTGCAGTCTGTCAGCTATATGGCTTTGTAGGAGGTGTTTTTGGTCTGATGTCCATCAATACACTTACAGCTATCTCCATTGATCGTTACATCGTCATCACTAAACCACTGCAGGCCTCGCAGACCATGACGAGACGCAAGGTCCACCTTATGATCGTCATTGTATGGGTCCTGTCCATCCTCTTGAGTATTCCACCATTCTTTGGCTGGGGCGCCTACATCCCCGAGGGCTTCCAAACGTCATGCACCTTCGACTATCTCACCAAGACAGCGCGGACGCGAACTTATATCGTGGTTCTGTATCTGTTTGGATTTCTTATACCCCTGATAATCATTGGCGTCTGTTATGTACTGATCATCCGAGGTGTCCGACGCCATGACCAGAAGATGCTAACTATTACCAGGAGTATGAAGACCGAAGATGCTCGTGCAAATAATAAGAGAGCACGTTCAGAATTGAGAATTTCCAAGATTGCCATGACCGTCACATGTCTGTTCATTATTTCGTGGAGTCCGTATGCTATTATTGCTTTGATCGCACAGTTTGGACCTGCACACTGGATAACACCACTCGTGTCAGAACTACCGATGATGCTCGCCAAGTCAAGCTCCATGCACAACCCAGTGGTATATGCTCTCAGCCATCCAAAATTTCGCAAAGCACTATATCAGCGGGTTCCCTGGTTATTTTGTTGTTGTAAGCCAAAAGAAAAAGCTGATTTCCGAACATCGGTATGTAGCAAGCGAAGTGTGACGCGTACGGAGAGTGTCAACAGTGACGTGTCCAGTGTGATCAGTAATTTAAGCGACTCGACAACTACGCTGGGTCTAACGTCGGAAGGAGCAACGAGGGCCAACAGAGAAACGTCTTTCCGCAGGAGTGTATCCATCATAAAGGGCGATGAGGACCCGTGCACCCATCCCGACACGTTTCTGTTGGCTTACAAAGAAGTAGAAGTGGGAAATCTGTTTGATATGACAGATGACCAAAACAGACGAGATTCCAATTTACATTCTTTGTATATCCCTACAAGAGTGCAGCATAGACCAACCACGCAGTCACTCGGCACGACCCCTGGTGGTGTTTACATCGTGGACAATGGTCAGCGGGTAAACGGACTTACCTTTAATAGTTGATGTAGCATAGTGTACATCATAAACGAGGACATCACATCACTCAACAGCAGGAAAGCAATCAGGAGTCCCAAAAAAAGCGATAGCATAAGAATGTAGAAAGACACAACGCAATAGCAGCATGAAGAACTGCTTAAGGAACAGCAGGTAGGCCCATATTGACAACAGGAGGAAATAAATAGGACAATTATAGGCAATGATGGCTTTGAATAAGGCATAAGTGAGGATAGAACTGACAACACATATTAATAACAAAAACTTTACATACAGCAAAATTGTAATTGCAAATAGTCAAAAACATTGAAGCGCAGTCGTACTCAACAGAATGTAAATTTAAAGGGGTCGGGAACAGGAAGGCTGCCTGCCTTTGTTTTATAGACTGGTGCCATGTTATTGATGTTTACTTGTGTATTATAAAATTATTAATCAAGAAAGAATAATTTAACGTCTTCATGGTAGAAGACATCTAGAGAGAGCGAGAATGTTCCATAGGGTAAGGTTGGTTTTATACTATTACGAACTAAGTTTTGTATCACTGCAGGTCGTTGTTATTATTGTTGTTGGTAACGTATAGTCACGTTTTGAACGGGAATTTGCATTGAATATATATCGTAGCGTGTTTAATATTAAAATTGGACAGGAACTTTTATCAGCATTGTTTCCGGATTAATGTTTATGGTTTTCGTTTTTATTTACTCTAGCTACATATTGGACATCGTAAACTGTTTTACTGTCCTATTCTTTAAACATTTATAATACAGTTATATTTTAACGTGGTTCAATTTTTTTTAGCAGGAATAAAATGTATTCGTCGTGAGTTATTCATACGTTAGAATGTTCTGATGACTTATGATATGGTTATGAAAGAGAAGTTACTGTAATCTTGTATTCTTTTAATCTACATCTACATCTGTATAATACGTTGCTCCATCTGAGATGATAATTTTGCGGCGGCGTGAACAGACAAAATTTAATAACGGAAATAAATAAATACGTAATTCAAAAAAGGCAAATAATTAAAACTCTAAAATTGTATTAACCTTATGTTACGTTTCTCAGCTAAGCAGTATATATATAACATAAAAAATCATTCCCGTGGCAGACATTGCAATAATGCAGTCGACAATTGACAGCCCATAGTTACATAAAGTTAATCGTTGCATCACGGTCTTTCTTAATTGATTAGCGACATTTATATATTTATTTAACACAGCTAATCCCTTTTGCTTCGTTGTTCATAACATTTGCATAAGATTGATAACAGTTGTTATCCAGATTAAGTACACGTCGGCTAAAAATAGAGTTTATGAGATAAGTGATGTACATGTATATGAAATAAATAAAAAGAATAGGAGTTAAAACCAAGGGGTGTCTGTTTACATTTGATATTTCGTAAGTTATAATTTGACAGCATTCAGAGTCATGTTTCGAGGAAGAGACTTCCAGAAGGAGGACCCAGTATTTAACGAAGCTGGGCTGATGATACTCACTTTTTGTCTGATAAGGTTGATATTGACATGGAGTAACTGATCTTATGTCTGTATCATCATATTGTAAATAATGTTCATGATAAATGACTATGAGGTGATGTCTGGTTCCTGACAATTCATTTTAAGATATATTATTTTTTGTTGGCGTTGGATGTGTAAGTCCCAGCTCATGTTATGAGAGAGAGTTACATTTAAAGAAGTCTGGATTTGGATTCTTGATCTAGATATGAAAAGAGAGGTGCATTTATTAGGATAAAATGGTATACACCAGGTTTGTTTCTCTTTGTTCAAAAAGTGCGCGAGTAACAATTAAGCACCAGCCAAAGGGTCGTGTTGTAGACTGTATACTGTGTTCGATGTTCTTTGTTTTGGCTTGTTTCAAGACGTTCTATGCAAGCAACCAATCAATGACTATATAATTAGTTGATGGGAAGTGATCAGTTTATATATATCTAGAAACTCAACACTCTCATTTATTTAATCAGCAATGAAAACAGACTACCACACAACCTACATCTGGTCACACGCAAAAACATATCGCACCAGTTAAACTGTCATACTGTTCTGCTACCTTTGGTCAATTAATTATAGATTTCCTCGATTATGAAGAAGGATATGGCTAGTTCGGCGTTAACACATATCAACTCACACTGGTCTTATCGAACAGGAATCAGTTGTGAAAGTGTCCTTATTCTGTTCGTGGAATAACGGATATGACGTCAAAGGGTTTTTTATGTGTAATGCCGTCAAAAAAAAAAAAAAATCAACAAATGCGGCATCGGGTCCTAAAACAGTAAATACGTATTGTTATTTAATGTAACAGGTGGTTCTAGGGTCATAATGTATAACACTTGGTGTTTACTAGAGTATATAGAAGACAAACAGTTAATTTGGCCACACACTTGAAGGGACACCTGTGAATTTCTTTTTAGGGGGGGGGGGGTCAGTCAATGCAAATTGAAATAATGGTGGTAGTCTTGTGTTCTCTTAAAGGGAGAAAACTCCAACACGCTTGTACAATCCAGCGGCATGTTACTACACATGCTCAGTAAAAATAAGGAGATAACTTATCATCAAATTTAATTTATTTATCTGTTCATTTACTCCTTCATGGTTTTGTCGAATATTTGTTTATTCATTTACTGAATCGAATGTCATGAGGACAGGTGTGATTCATACGTTTGGTTTTTATTAGGTTTAACTTCCATTAACAGCTAGGATCATTTAAGCATGTGCCTACATGTGTGTAATACAGGTGTGCATGTGTGAAATGCATGTGTGCATGAATGTATGTATGCCGGATACAGGATGTGTTGGTGTATGTGCATCCTTAGTACAGCGCTCATCTGATGCTGACTTTAGAGTGTAACCTCACTGAAATACCATGCCGACGGCACCCTGCACAGTATTCCAACTGGTCACATTATACTGACAACGGGTAAACCAGTTGTTGCGATCCATACATGCCTAATGTGAAACACAACATATCATTAAGAATGCGAATATTTTGATTTCACATTATTTATTGATATAATACTCTATAACAAGACCCAAATCAGAGGACATATGATTTTTTGTTAATTATAAATCGATTTTAACAGTACGGTTTCCTTAAATATGTAACATGTTCTTTTGTTGAGGGGTTATCATTGGTTTGGGGGACAACCTCGTGCAATAGTATCGACCGTTGTGTGTAAAACTTGTTCATCTGTCCTCTGGCAGACCAAGCCCCGTCCTATATATAACCAAAGCTTGTTGTCAGAGAAAACAAACTCCTTTACGATGATATCGCTTCCAAATTAAATCCATTTACGCCGATATATATCCGTGAGAAACACCCAACCTTTGGCTCAGCGAAACGACCACAAACTAATTATAAACTGTCTGTATATATCAGTTGAGTAGTATATATATGTCGTTGTCTTGTGTTCATAACTAAGGTAGAAAGTAAGGCCAGGCGTTCCAATGGTTTATATATATATACTAAAATGAAAACAAATTGACCCTTTCTGCAGTAAGTTTTTTTATAGCAAACTTAACTTTTCTGGTGGTTGTACAAAAAACTTGGTACCGTTGATTTTGGTTTATGTTTTTTATTTTTGTTTGTTTTTGTTTTTTTAGGGGGGAGGGGGGGGGGGCGGGGGAGCATTAAATTAACAGCTCGGGTCCTTTAAGGTGGTTCCATACTTTCGCAACTAACCAGCAAAATTCGTTGAAACTTTCATATAATGGTTGTGTAACTATGTAGAGTTGATTTTATGAAAATCTAAACTAGTTTGGGGACTTTTTTGGAAAAAATACCAAAAAATTGAATTTTCGTCAATTTTAATATTTTCCGTTTTTTTTTTTGTGTGTGTCATTGTTCAGAAAAATAACAGCAATAATAAAATGAAAAAAAGCATTTCTAATTAACCCTACAAATATTTTATTTATCGCAAAATATGTAACACATATTACACAAAGTGGTTTTATTGAATTTGTACGGATAAAGGTGATTATCTACGAGCTAAAAGCAAACAGGACACAAAGATCTATACATATAGAATGGGAAATTGAACAAAATATACACAATGGCTTTATAATTAATTTATTTTACATTTTACAATTACTTTGATCCGGGTGAGAGTTATCTTCCTTGAAAAAAATCGGAACTCTTTGCAGAGGTATGACATTTACACAATGACAGTTGTCTCTGTTTATATATAACAAAAATGATGGAAATAAATCAAAAATGTGATATCAAAATTATCAATTTATTGTTCTTTAATGAGACCAAATAACCCTCAGTCATGTACACTTTGGACATCATTCCACAGTCCGCTAACTCACGGTATATTTATAATTACATGTCCGGTACATATATGACCAGAGGCTATCGCATGGTATGCCGTTTTCACGTGCACTCACACATGCATTTCATAGGTATCTTGATAAGTAGACTACACACATTTGTAAACACGATTTAATCGACAGTCGTAACGACCTCGAGCTTATGAACTCGTGTAAGCACGTGATATGCACATGTGAGGTTGGTACGTCCGCATTCCATGTGTTTCCTATATGACCTTCTTGAGGTCGTCTGGTCTCATGTCACTGTCTTCCCGTGAGTCTGTTTATGTCTATGAATTGGAAAGCTTTATTCCTGAAGTACGTGTGATTATACATTTCCCGGTAAAATCTCGATAGCGGGTGCTGACATATCATCGGCACGCACGTGTGCTATTGTTTACAAGAGGCCTGTTCGTGTATGCGGAACAATCGGTTTGACCGTTTATAAATGTAACAATTTCGGGTATAAATCCTGGCGGACCTGCTAATGTGTATGCATGCCTTGCATGGCTTTTTCAAGGTTCGCCTGAAAGCAGCATCAGATTACTAGGTCCGACATTATTTAATAAACGAACAACAGTGGTCCGATCGGTTTGACCGTTTAAACGAAAACGGCCCTGGGGTGTTACTATAATTTGACTACGATATTGAATGCCCGATACGCAATACGGAAATGACGACACGGTATATATGCACATTTCGATCAAGATAATTGAGTCCGAGCTGTACTTTTTCCGGAAGTACGTCACGAAAATGGACGCTGATGACGATGTGTGGAGCCACCTTAAGGATCCCTGTCCCACTGCACTATGTTTGTCCTATATACAATAACAACCTTTCACTTCTGATTGGAAATAACTGTAGCACTACTGGGCAAGGACTCTTCCGTTGACCCGGTAGCTCAATCGGTTAGAACGGTAGTAAAACAATCTGAAGTACAGGGTTCGAATCCCAGTCTAGCCCCGCTAATAATTTTACGTTCAGAACACTGTTGTTGACTATCTTTTCTTAATTTCATCTTTATCATTTCTCATGAAAGTCCCACAATGAGTCCCGAAATGGCCTATCAAATCTATAGCCATACTGGATAAAAGAGTTTCAAATACTTACTGTACATGCGGGGATCCCCGAGGGCGCGCCTCCGTCTGTGCAATGTATGCACGTGTGCTGCAGGCGCTATGTTGGTGTAATGACCTTGCAATAACGTGGATCTGATGCCGACTTTTGACTTCTACCATACTGATCATGAAATACAATGCCCATTGTGATGCCGAAGGCACCCAGCACAGTATTTTACCCGGCCACATTGTGCAATGTACTGACAACGGATAAACCAGGAATTACTCTAAATGTATACACATGGGTTTTTTTCTTTTAAAGAAATGTTTTCTCCATATGCAGAAACGATAATAAAATATTCCTGCGTTTCGTAGTAATGGCGGGAAGTCAGGGGTGGAATTACGAGTGGACCGAGTCAGATCTGGTCAGCCAATCAGAGTGTTGGAACTTGGCACGTACATTGTCGTGTGGGTGCGATGGTACGCGGGTAGGTACGCCACTTTTCTAGCGCGTCGGTCGCAGTAACACGTTATATGTATTTCTTGTAGTCGGAATATTTTTCAAACACAGATTTAAAGAATTTTTGAGGTTTGATTAGGTTTAGATCAGTTTTGTTTGCGTTTCCGTATGGCAGTGTTAGAAGCAGTACAGTTTTAGGTAGAATCCCAGATTTTTAAGCCTAATAATTCAGGTCTGGTGCACCTCTTGTAGTCCCAGAAAGGTTTCAAATTGGGTGGCTCGCTTGGTTTCTTTTCAGAGAACTGTTTTCGATATCTGCTATAGGGATAGGATTTTGATAATGTATGAGAAGGAGAACTGGGAAAAGGATGTGAGTATATCGTGTTAAGGGTGTATGGTTGATTGTACATGTAATATGCTAATGTGTTATACTCATTAAACTCTGTCTACTGCATG